TTTTTTTTTTTTTTTTTTTTTTTTTTTTTTTTTTTTTATGCTTGTGCACTGCACGTGATCTGCATGTGTTTTGAGTGTGTATTGTATGCCTAACCTCAACAATGAGGCAACTTACTCGGTATTTTGTAAAATACTCAAGCCACGTGCTACCTATATGTTCAAGTAAGGGCAAGGCCCCCATGTACGGTTGACAGTGAACGCTGCGAAGGCCATAGAAGTCTTAGGGAGTATTTTGTAAAATACTTAAGCCACGTGCTACCTATATTTTCAGGTAAGGGCAAGACTCCCATGTACGGTTGACAATGAACGCTGCAAAAGCCATGGAAGTCTTAGGGAGGGCTTGTAGGGCAGTAGATGTTTTGTTCGAAATTCTTTCGAAATTCTTTCGAATAATAATTATTTGCATTTGTTTCTCCTAGTTAGTTGTTGATTGATTTCCGAAATTAGGTCGGTCCTTCGTGTTACGAACTACTTATAATAATGAGCATGTTGTTATTAATGTTGTCTTATATAAATTTTTGCATTTTTATCATATGAATGCAAGATGACGTCGCTAATTAGGTTAAAGAAAACTAGGGGCATTACAGAAACGGAGACAAGTACATTGAAAATAAGACTACTAGCATTACTCTTACACACAGCCTTAGTTTTCATATACTATACAGCATGATAGTAATGAAATACCTGGCGACCTCTGTGGAGATAGAAACAAACTTCTAGTTTATGTATGGTTCATATGAACGATAGACCCAAATGGAATGAGAAAGGATTATGGAAGAAACCAACAGCACCAGAATCATTCTGTGGAGATGGCAACTACTTGTTTCCCAACATTGCGACCACTAAAGAGTCCAATCAAAGCTGCTGGTCCGCTCTCGAGGCCATGAACCGTGTCCTCGACATAGGTTATTTTCCCTTCTCGGATATAAGGCAACATTGCTTCTAAGAACTCGGCATAGCGATGGAAATAATCGGGAGCACGGAAACCTTCCATACGAACCCGCTGAGTCATAAGACGCAAGAGATTATGCACACCCTCAGACTGACCAAGATTGTATTGAGATATCATTCCACATACTGCAATCCGACCATGAGGTCTCATGTTTAAAAGCACGGCATCGAGCGTCTTCCCTCCTACATTTTCGAAGTAAACATCGATACCTTCAGGGAAGCATCTGCCACCAAAATAACATAGAAAGATAAGGAAGGCGGCCCTACAATTTTCTATCGTTTTAGGCAATCATCCGTGCAGTCCATCTATGTTATGATGATGTTATTCTGTAGGATTCTTATTGCTTTTGCAGTCAAATCATCGATCATATACCCTTACATACATGTTTACTAGATACCCACGAAGAGGCGCGTTACAGAAGGGAAACTAACCGCTTTAGTGCAGCATTTAAGTCACGTTCTTCCTTGTAGTTGAAAACCTCATCAAATCCGAACTTGTTTTTCAGCAGCTCAATCTATTTCAGGCATATAAGACATGAAATCATCGATGAGCAAAAATTGATCAGAAAGTAGCAAAATTCAAACAACCTTGTAAATATTAGACCTTTTCAGAACTCAAAACTACACCTACTTGTTACTTGGTTTAGATTTTATCTACTTCCTAAGCTTTGATGCTTATCTTATTTTAGCCCCCAAAACTTGAAATAAGTACATTGACTAAATTTATAGTTAGGTTTCATGCATAGATTTATGTACTAAAACAAAACTAGCATTAAGATTCAACAATCAACATATCAATCAATCAAATATTGATAAGAGAAAATTTAGAACAGCATATTTGCATAGATGAATAAATATCACAGAATCTTGAAAAGAGAATGAACGGTTTTCCCATTGCATGAGACTGAATTTCATCAAAGAAATGAATGATTGGGAGAGAGGACATAGAAGCAAACTTTTACAAAATAGCTCACCTTCTCTCTGCTTCCAGCACTCCCAACAACATAACAACCCATCAATTTTGCTAATTGGCCAACAAGTTGACCAACAGCACCAGAAGCTGCTGATACAAACACATATTCTCCCTTCTTGGGGGAGCATATTTCATGAAATCCAAAATAAGCAGTTATACCAGGCATACCTGTGAAGATTAATTATGTATCAAATATAAGGTTCAACATTTATCACTTTCTCAAACAGAAGGTATCATACATGTTTAAGTGACAAACATGATGTAAGAGTTTTTAGAATATAAGAATACTGAGTGAGTTTGGTATGATTTTTAGGAATGTGTAGAATGAGTTCTTGTCACTCAAAATTGTGAAGATCTCACATCGGTTGGGGAGAAGAACGAAACATTCTTTATAAGGACAATATCTACTAGTGGTGGACTTGGGCTGTTACAAATAGTATCAGAACCAGACACCAAGCGATGTGCCAGCGAGGAGGTTGGACAAGAGACGGTGTGCCAGCAAGAACGTTGGGCCCCAAAGGGGGATGGATTGGAGGGTCCCAATCGATTGGAGAAGGGAACGAATGCTAGCAAATACGTGGGCCCCGAAGGGTGTGTGGATTGTGAGATCCCACATTGGTTGGGGAGGAAAACGAAACATTCGTTATAAGGGTGTGGAAACTTCTCCCTAGTAGAGGTGTTTTAAAAAACCATGAGGGAAAGCCCGAAAGGAAAAGCCCAAAGAGGACAATATGTACTAGCGGTGGGCTTAGGCCATTACAAATGGTATCAGAGCCAGACACCGGGCGATGTGCTAGCGAGGAGGTTGAGCCTCAAAGGGGGGTGGACAAGAGGCGATGTGCTAGCAAGAACACTAGCCCCGAAGCGGGGTGGACTGCGGGGTCCCACATCGATTAGAAAAGGGAACAAATGCCAGCAAAGACGCTGGACCTTGAAGGGGGTGTTGAATTGTGAAATCCCATATCATTTGGGAGGAGAACGAAATATGAAAACCTCTCCCTAGAATAAGAGTTTTAAGCCCGAAAGGGAAAGCCCAAAAGTGGACTTGGGCCGTTACAAAAGTACTCTCCAAATTTTACCAAACGTGACTACAAAAGTTCTAAAAACACTCTCAAGTCCTCTTGGGTCTTAGTTATGCTTCTTCACAAAGGTCTTATCCAAAGAACTATTCACAAAATCACTGTACTACTCTTCTACAATCAGTGAACTAAAAATTCAGGAAAATTGAAACGAAAAGCTATACCAAGAATTCCAGTATAATATGAGAGGGGCACATCAGTATGCTGGATTTTGAAGAGTTTTTCAGGCTCCTCAACGACAGAGTATTCTTCCCATTTCAACATTCCCCAAAGAAGATCACCTTCCTTGAAATTCGAGAGTGCAGACTCCAGAACTCTGGCTACTCCAAACCCAAATAGCAACTACAAATATTTCCAGCAGAGAAATAAACGATCATCTCAAAATTTCATTTACGTGCATCTCAAGTTTCCTCCCTCAACTTCCAAGCTATGACCAACAGTACAAACACAGATTTCCTTCAATATCATCATCACATTCAAGATCAACACGCGGAATAACAACTTACACATACCATAATCTACAAACTCAAGAAAACTCACCTCATCCGATCAACTACGTAACGAGAGGGACGAAAAAAGAAATCATACAGCAAAGGAAATGAAATTACCGATCCAGGAGAATAAGAAGTCGAGGGAGGTCGACTTTCCATGAGAAATCGCATGAAGGGATCGCAAGAAAGATAGAGCGTTTTGAGCAATACGCCATTTGAAGCTTCAGGAAGCTTCAATCTAATGCTACTACTGGAAACGATGAAATCGGATTCCTGAGGGAAACCGCTAACAAAATCCCGAAAAATCACCTGCCTGTTCTTCGCTTCGCCGCCCCCGAGATTCGCCATTTTTCAATTCTGGTAATGCTAATTAATAACCGAATTTGAACTATGAGCTAAACCTTCAGCTACTTATAATTTCAACATTACAAAATTATTTTAATTATTTTAATTTTTTAATATATATCTCTTTAACAAATCATCATTTTTAATACATAAATTATAATATCACTTTTTTATTAAAAAACAATAAAACATTTTAATAAATTTAATAATATTTCATAAACAAAAAAATATAATATAATGTTTCGCTAGTATAATTTCTATAACTCGTCATAGTACTGACTGGTAATGATATTTTTTTAATTTTTTTAAGAAAATAAAATAATTAATGAAACATTTTAAAGTCACCGACATATTCTTCACCTGGTCGCCCGCCATTTTTCAACTTTATCACACTTGTTTAGATGGGTAGATAGATATGGTAATGCTAATTAATCGCCAAATTTGGACTATGCATGGTATGACGTGGCTATCTTAAAATAATTAAATTATAAAATTATTTCAATTTTTTTTTTTCACTTTTTAATATATATCTTTTTTTAAAAAAAAAATTAAAAATATAAATTGTCAGAATGTTTATGTTTGCATAAATCTACCCCTAAATGGTGTGAAAGTTATCTTATTTATAATCAAATAAATTATAGATATGGTAAGACTAATAAATGGAAACATACCTATCGTGAGAAGGTAAATATTATATATTTGTCTTATAATAAAATATTCAATATAATATATATGATAAACTATAATTTAGCACTGAACTTAGAAACAAATGAAATATGAAGATTGAGGTAACAACAAAACAATCACAAATGCCTCTTATATATGTCCATTTTGCTCTTTCTCTAAAACAGTTCAACGTCTTCGCTGGCACACTGTCCGACCTCCATCTCCCTTTGGGGCTCAATGTCCTCGCTGGCACACCGTCCGATGTCGGACTCTGATATCATTTGTAATGCCGTAAGCCCACCGCTAGTAGATATTGTCCTCTTTAAGCATTCACTTTCGAGCTTCCTCCCCAAAGTTTTTAAAACGCATCTACTAAGAAGAGTTTTCTACACACTTGTAAAGAATGTTTCGTTTCCCTCTTAACTGATGTAAGATCTCACACTTTAGGGTATAAATTTTGACAATTTATGACACAAGTGATTCTCAATGGCTAAGCTCTTGCTTTCTTGGTCCCCGTAGAAACTGTAGAACCAAATGTTGAACGTCATTTGTAGAGTAAACACTCATAGAATCCTCTATCATCGTTCAGTTTTGGTTTCAAACTTGTTGGTCGTCAATTATTCTCGTGGTTGTAGGGTGCTTTGTGGGATCAATCGCCTCAAATCCTTGATCAATCGCCTCAAATTCTTTCCCCCCACTCGGATAAGTAGTTATTCATGAGTTTAATGTTAAAATCTTCTTCAATAACTCCTAGATTAACCACGCCACCGTGAATTGGCTGTTGGAGGGGATTCAGCGTTATCCGCTATGAAGGGAATACCATCGTCACATATCGCCATTGAAAAATGTTGCCAGATATTCGAATCAAAAAATTGGGTGAAGAAGAAAAGATCCATAGACGAATCGAGTCGGACCTAACCCACAGACCGACCTAGCAAACTAGCAAAAGCAGCAAGCTCAGCAACCTCAACATCAGCAACCAAGAGCCGCTCCAGCTCTCGTACGTCACGCCCTGTCCAACAACTTCATCCCTCAACCCACATGAAGCCCCGACACCAATCTAAAGACCCCAACTCAACCGAGGCATGCGTCCAAGTCATCTCTAAGTTAAGTTTGGTTTAGTGCATATTTTCGTTGATTTACACTATTTGTTGAGCCAATCCACCGTACTTCTTGTGAGATCCCACATCAGTTAGAGTGGAGAATGAAACATTGTTGATAAGAGTGAAAACTTCTCTCTAACAAACTTATTTTAAAACATTTAGGAGAAGCCAAGAAGGAAAGCCTAAAGACAACAATATCTACTATTAGGGATAGGCTTGAGCTGTTACAAATGGTATCAGAGCCAGACATTAAGCAATGTGTTAGTGAGAACGTTGAGTCCCAAAGGGGGATTGGACACCGAGTGGTGTGCCAACGAGGATGTTAGGCCCCAAAGGGGGGTGAATTGTGAGATCCAACATTAATTGGAGAGAGGAACGAGTGCCAATGAAAACGCTGGGCTCTGAAGGGGATGGATTGTAAAATCTCACATCGATTGAAGAGAGGAACGACATCGATTGAAGAGGGGAACGAGTGCCAACGAAGATGCTGGGACCTGTAGGGAAGAGATTGTGAGATCCCACATCGATTAGAGATGAGAACAAAACATTCTTTATGAGAATGTGAAAACTTTTCCCTAGCCGACGCATTTTAAAACCTTGAGGAAAAACTTAGAAGGGAAAGTCTAAAGGGAACGATATCTGCTAGTGATGGACTTAGACGGTTATACTCCTCCTCTTGCTATCCTCTTCATAACCTTCGAAAGATGATAAAATAACTTGTTAACGGAGAGGTTGAAGTAAATTTTCATTCTTCTACAACTCCGTGTGAAATTAAAGTTTCCGAAAGAAACTTCGAAGTTGTACCTCGAAAAAATCATCGTTTCTCAATGAAAAATAAGTAACTGACTAAATGGCAAGTACATTGAAAACAAGACTACTTGCATTACTCAAACACAGCTGCATTACACAAACCAATCATCTGCCTTATTGTTCATATATTATACAGCATGATAGTAATGAAATACCTGGCGCTCTTTGTGGAGATAGAAACTAGTTTATGTATGGTTCATTTGAAGATCAATACGAGACCTGAGACCCAAATGGAATGAGAAAGGATTACGGAAGAAACCAACAGCACCAGAATCATTCTGAGGAAATGGCAACTACTTGTTTCCCAACATTGCGACCACTAAAGAGTCCAATCAAAGCTGCTGGTCCGCTCTCAAGGCCGTGAACCGTGTCCTCGACATATGTTATTTTCCCTTCTCGGATATAAGGCAGCATTGCTTCTAAGAACTCGGCATAGCGATGGAAATAATCGGGAGCACCGAAACCTTCCATGCGAATCCGCTCAGTCACGAGACGCAAGAGATTATGCACACCCTCAGACTGACCAAGATTGTATTGAGATATCATTCCACATACAGAAATCCGACCATGAGGTCTCATGTTTAAAAGCACAGCATCGAGCGTCTTCCCTCCTACATTTTCGAAGTAAATATCGATACCTTCAGGGAAGCATCTGCCACCAAAATAACATACAAAGGTTCCATTTTCAAGATTATGAATTAGAAGTAAAGTCAGAAGTTCAACTGTTCAGCTAAATCCTAATTGGGAAGCCGCTACAATTTTCTGTTGTTTTAGGCAATCCCCCGTGCAGTCCATCTATGTTATTCTATATCGGATTTCTTATTGCTTTTGCTGTCATATCACCGATTATACCCTTACATACATGATATCGGATTTCTTATTGCTTTTGCTGTCATATCACCGATTATACCCTTACATACATGGTTACCAGATACCAACAGAGAGGCACATTACAGAAGGGAAACTAACCGCTTTAGTGCAGCATTTAAGTCGCGTTCTTCCTTGTAGTTGAAAACCTCATCAAATCCGAACTTGTTTTTCAGCAGCTCAATCTATTTCAGGCATATAAGACATGAAATTGATATTTCAGTAGAATGTATGGGGAGAATAAGAATCCTTTGTTCGATGCAATGAGCAAAAAATGATCAGAAAGTATAAGCTGCAAAATTCAAACAACCTTAGAAATATTAGACCTTTTCAAAACTCAAAACTACATCTATATGTCACTTGGCTTAAATCAAATCTAGTTCCTAAGCTTTGATGCTTATCTTATTTTAGCCCCCAAACCTTGAAATAAGTACATTGACTAAATTTGTAGTTTACCCAATAATTTTCATGCATAGATTGATGGACTAAAACAATACCAGCATTAAGATTTAGGAACCAAATTAAGATTCAACAACCAACATATATCTATCAATCAAATATTGATAAAAGAAAATTTAAATCAGCACATTTGCATAGATGAATAAATATCACAGAATCTTGAACAGAGAATGAACGGTTGTCCCATTGCATGAAACTAAATTTCATCGAAGAAATGAATGATTGCGAGAAAGAGGTCATAGAAGCAAACTTTAACAAAATAGCTTACCTTCTCTCTGCTTCCAGCACTCCCAACAACATAACAACCCATCAATTTTGCTAATTGGCCAACAAGTTGACCAACAGCACCAGAAGCTGCTGATACAAACACGTATTCTCCCTTCTTGGGGGAGCATATATCATGAAATCCAAAATAAGCAGTTATACCAGGCATGCCTGTGAACATTAATTATGTATCAAATATAAGGTTCAACATCAACAAAACCAATGAGAAAACTTCCCCTGACATTTATCACTTTCTCAAACAGAAGGTATCATACATGTTTAAGTGACAAACATGATATAGAAGTTTTTAGAATATAAGAATACGAGTGAGTTTGGTATGATTTTTAGGAGTGTGAAGAATGAGTTATTGTCACCCAAAATTGTGAGATCCCACATCGGTTGGGGAGGAGAACGAAACATTTTTTATAAGGGTGTGGAAACCTCTCCCTAGAAGAGGCGTTTTAAAAAACCTTGAGGGGAAGCCTGAAAGGGAAAGCCCAAAGAGGACAATATCTGTTAGCAATGGGCTTGGGCCATTACAAATGGTATCAAAGCCAGACACCGAGCAATGTGTCAACGAGGAGGTTGAGCCTCGAAGGGGGGTGGACAAGAGGCAGTGTGCAAGCAAGGACGTTGGGCCCCAAAGGGGAGTGGATTGGGGGTCCCAGATCGATTGGAGAAGGGAAAGAATGCCAGCGAAGATGCTGAGGGCCGCGAAGGGGGTGTGGATTGTGAGATCCTACATCGGTTGAGGAGGTGAACGAAACATTTTTTACAAGGTGTGGAAATCTCTCCCAAGAAGACATTTTAAAAAACCTTGAGGGGAAGCCCTAAAGGGAAAGCCCAAAGAGAATCCTATCGACTAACAGTGGGCTTGGGCTGTAACAAAAGTACTCTACAAATTTTACCAAACGTGACTACAAAAGTTCTAAAGACACTCTTAAGTCCTCGTGGCTCTTAGTTATGCCTCTTCACAAAGTTCTTATCCAAACCTGCTTTGCTTCAAAGAACTATTCACAAAATCACTATACTACTCTTCCACAATCAGTAAATTAAAAATTCAGGAAAATTCAAACAGAAAACTATACCAAGAATTCCAGTATAATATGAGAGGGGCACATCCGTATGCTGGATTTTGAAGAGTTTTTCAGGCTCCTCAACGACAGAGTATTCTTCCCATTTCAACATTCCCCAAAGAAGATCACCTTCCTTGAAATTCGAGTGTGCAGACTCCAGAACTCTGGCTACTCCAAACCCAAATAGCAACTGCAAATATTTCCAGCAGAGAATTAAACGATCACCTTAAATTTCATTTTCGTGCATCTGAAGTTTCCTTCCATCAACATCCTAGCTATGACTAACAGTACAAATACAAATTTCCTTCAATATCATAATCACATTCAAGATCAACAGGCGGGATAATTCATATATAACCTAATCAAGAAACTCAAGAAAACTCCACCCGATCCGATCATAGAAAAACAAGAAAAGCACGTAACAGGACGGAGAAAAAAGAAATCATAGAGCAAAGGAAACTAAATTACCGAGCCAGGAGAATAAGAAATTGCAGCGGGGCGACTTTCCATGAGCATTCGCATGAAGGGATCGCAAGAAAGATAGAGTGTTTTGAGCAATACGCCATTTGAGCCTTCAGGAAGCTTCAATCTAATGCTACTACTGGAAAAAATGAAATCGGATTCCTGAGGGAAACCGCTAACAAAATCCCGAAAAATCACCTGCTTGTTCTTCACTTCGTCGCCCAGATTCGCCATTTTTCAATTTTCTCTCAATTTTCTCTCAATTTTCTCTCAAATTTCTCACACTCGCCTAGACGGGGAGATATGATAATGCTATAATTAATGGCCGAATTTGGATTAGAAGGCTAAACCTTGTACCTGACGTGGCTATCTTAAAATGACTCAATTATAAAATTATTTCTATTTTTGATTTCCAGCATTCAAAATTGGTCCCCACCAGATATTTTAATATATTTTTTTTTAAAAAAATCGAATTTTTTTAATACATATTAACATCAATCATTGGTGTAATTTATACAACTTAGCTTCCAATATTTAAAATAAATTATCAATATACTCGGAAAGTAACGATAATAGACTGTAGAAGAAATTGAGTGTATAAAAGAGCAAAAAGGGCTTAAAATCGAAACCCTAATTTAAAAACCTCAAACCGGGACGTTGTTTGAAGCACGTGCTAAAAAAATCGAGTAACTTTCCATGTTTTTCGAAATCTTTGTGGGCAACGATCAAGCTTTACTATTTAGAATAGAATGTCAATGAAACGGAGTTGTATAAAACAATAAAAAACTGCTGAAAATCAAAACCCTAATTTGAAAACTCCAAACCGAGACGTGCTAAAAATATCAAGTAAATATCCATGTTTTTCGAAATCTTTGTAGGGAATGATCAAGCTTTAAGATTTAGAATAGAATATCGAATAAACAGTGTATATATATAATTTTGATTATATAAATATTTGCCTATTATTTTCCGCTAAAATTAAATATTTTTAAAATACCCCCTATATTGACTTCTAATTTGGCCGTTTATTTAAATATTCTTTTTTTTTAATTGATTAATTTCTTACTCTAACATGGCTATTTTTAAATGACTAAATTAAAATATTTTTACTTTTTGTCCATTATTTCAATACTACCCGTTAGCATTTCACAATTATTTTAAAACAAATAAAACAAAATTTTAAACATTTCTTTCATAACAAATATTAAAATGTCATATAAAAAATTTTAATATTACCCTTTGACATTTCATAAAAACGCCCGATCAGACTTAATATTTCAGTTTACGGGTTATTTCAATTAAACCCGTGAATTTTTTTTTATTATTTTAAAGGAAATACGAAGATTTAGGTAACAACAAAACAATCACAAATGTCTCATGTATGGAGAAAAAGAATGTATAAATGAATAAAAAAATAAAAATAAAAACCATCCTATATGACAATTGATACAAGAAAGCAACCATGGGCAAGAAATCATGAAAAGAACAAAAAAGCCGAAGGAGTTTGCAGTATAATCTGTAAACATTTGTTGTCCGGGTTGGTGTCGGGGTTGGTGTCGGGGTTGGTGTCGGGGTCGTGTCGGGACGCTATTTAGCTTCCTCGGTCACACCTATAACACTTTCCACATGGTATAGCAAACGGGGAAGAGGCGACACGAGATGGTTTCCTTTAATCGTATAACAGACAAGGAAAAGAACAGAAAGAAACCTCAAAGGACAAGGAACCAGACTTATCATCCAACAAGCAGACAAGGTGAAAGGGACGATGATGATCATCATAGAAACTCCAAACATCTGAATCAATCTCCGCAAACAAAACCAAGAACACCAAAAGACTCCCCAACAAGAGCAGACTGGAAATAGGACTCACAAGTGGAAAAGATAGGGCAGCAGTTGCTGAACTCTCAAGAGCTTCCAAACAACTTGCCGAGCGTTTTAGCGTGTACGAGACCACTCGACCATAAGCCAGCAGGACGTATTTGTAGATTAAATGATTTTATTTGCAAAATTGCTTGAGCATCCCAAAGGCTTTGGTATGTTTTAAGTTAACAAGAAACGGTATTATGCACCCAAAAAGATCATAAAAAGGAACAATGCTGCCAAAAAGTTTACACAATCAATATAACACAACAGATGATAGATAGATAGGACATCATACTAGTAGAAGGCACCAGAAAGAAGAGTAATTACCTGTAAATTCCTCCAAGACAATGGGAAGAACATCCTGAAATGGAGATTTCACTTCCAACTTTCCGGGTCGGGACACAGATCACTAGTCGCAGCTTATCAAAAACCCGATCCTCTCAATACCCATCCAGATCAAAAACCAGGTCTAGTTGTACTTTAATAGAAATTTTTAGCAGTTATTGCAATTTCCCTGTGATAAGTAATCCAGCAGCTACATTGGCATTCAAAGACCATAAAACCAGATTTGAATGAATATGTCAAGAACACATTAGACACCATTGTACCAAGATACCAAATTCATCACATAGGAACACAAATGTCTCAATACTAACGCCAAGTTCTGCACTTCAGATATCTGAACTGTAACATAGACAACCTGTTGAAAGAAACATTAACACTCTGCAGGACATAACAGCAAGATCCCTCCATGTAAGCTGCAATTAATGTGGAGATAAATTCAAGCCATCAGTACAAGGCAGCCATAATGAATCAACCAGTCGAGTTAAGATGAATTACACACCTTAACAGAGAAGACACGATTCTATCAAGAACGAAAGCCACCAGAACCTGAACTCCGTCGTTCATATGGCCCAGAGCGGTCGCGACTGTATCGATCACTTCCCGAACCTCCTCGATCACCAGTATCCCTATTGCGCCCACCAGATCTATCTCCATTTCGATCTGGTCCATAACGACCACTGCCACCGCCGCCGCCGCCACTATATTTGTCATCCCTCCCTCCATACCTACCTCCTCTACCGCCTTCACTGGGACATTCCCGGGCAAAATGCCCTGGCTTCCCACATTTAAAGCAATCTCTACTGTTAGATCCACGCCCACCACCAAAATCTCGATTTCGATCACGCTCGTTGTCACGACCACGTGGACGATCACCATCGTTGTCTCTACCTGAACCTTGGTTAGGCTGAGCCTTATCAACTGTAATAGCCCGGCCATCTAAATCCATTCCATTCATGGCTTTGATTGCCTCATCCATAGCTTTCTTCTCATCAAAAGTAACAAAACCAAAACCACGGGAACGTCCAGAAAACTTGTCAACAACTACCTGCGAAACAGATGATGCATCATCAAAAAATGCTAAGGGTGACTATGGAACATCCTTAAGCAGCAGAGACCTTACGGTATCATCCATTATCATCAAATGCAACAAGCACCAACCTCACATTTCTCACATTTCTATTTTTAAACATTAATCAATAGCCATTAAATGTGTATAGAAGAATCATAACTCAAGGAGTTCTTTTCACCATTTTATTTCAAGGAAGATATGACAAAATAGAAAGACCCAATGGCAAGCAGCATCCATTCCAAGATTAAACAGAAAAATGAACCGTAATACAGCAGCAAGAATTTAGACTATAATCAGCTAAAATACGAAAAAAAACAAATCAGATACCTTGGCCTCTTGAAGATGGCCAAACTTTTCGAATGCTTCTTTAAGACCTCTGTCACTAGTTGACCAAGAAAGGCCGCCAATAAAGCACCGATACTCCCCCTCTTCAGCCATTACACGAGCTACATCGAAGAACCACATAATGAAAAGAGTGCGAATAATTCGAGGAAATCCAGCATCAAGAAAATTAAAAGAAAACGCAATTAACTCAACAGAAGAAAATACTCAAGAACTTCCTCGATCGGAAGAATCAAAATACCAAAATTCAGCCGATTACGGAATTAAACATGTATAATTTCAATACTTTTCTCGAGCATATTGAATTAACAAAATCATTAAATGTAAACAGAGAGAAGGAAAAAAAATGTTACCAGCAAAATTGAGCTAACAATTTCCGAAGAACGAAAGCCCTAGAATTCGATTCACTTTCGAGAGGAACCAAAGGCGGTAGTGATGGTGGAATGGTTAAACTGGTTGTAGGGCAAAGAGCCAGTCAACAAATTGGAGACCTTCGCTGCTGCAGTGATTTATTAATCGTCACAGTGGGCCGTTTTAGTGGACTCGGCCCATATTCAAAAACTTTTATGGACTCGGCCCATATTCAAGTTTTTATGGACTCTCTACCAGGCGAAGAATTCACAAAGATCGAGTACGTACGAAGAATAGGCTGTGACCTTCACGTGCACTCATGACAAGGTAGCGACACCAAGTGACACCCAACCAACCAACCAACCGCCCACGTGGGGACCGAGGAGGATGGTGCATCATCGAACACACCATATAAGGTATACATTGAAGTCAAGTCGAGGCATAGGTAAAAAAGGAGGTAATGAGTAGACAAGAGTGTCAAAGATAGACTTACCGAAGGGTTGGGTAGGACCCCCGAGCCTTAACCATGAAGGTCGGGGTTTTAAAGCAAATTTGGGTATGCGATTTTAGAGTCAAGTCCATCCATATGTAATACGGAAGCTCGCCAAATTTGGTGTTAATTGAATATTGGGCGGACGTTCCACTGCATCATATGACCGTTTGCCAAAATCATATCTACACTATCTCTGGCATAGATATGGTCAGTTCTCCACCACCCTTAGGCTCTACATGTGTCATAGTGAGAGCGAGCGTTACGAGACGAGTGTCTTAGGTGACTTACTTTGAAATGAATTTTTCAAGTACAATATCAGATGGAACAGGTATGCCAACATTGCGCTCCAACTCATGTATTGGAGGTTGGATCATACACCCATTATTTGGTATGACATGGACACGGAAAGGTCTAATGACTCGATAAAATCTAGATGAATGGATGTTTGAGATGTCCCAATATTATGAACGACACGTGGGCCTATTCTCGATGGCATGACTCAATGAGATGCAATGGCCGACGACATCCCATAACTTGGAATGATGTCGAGACATATGGGTCATATTAATTAGGAACTTAGATAATGTGGAATGTGACGCTTGTGTTAGTTAACTCTCTCGAGCCTTCAGTAAATTTTATTAATTATAAACATCACACTCGTGTTAGTCGAACCTCTAAATCGAGCACACACGCTATTTTTTAATATTAGAATTTTAATGAGGTGATGATTTGAACGGTTTGTACAGTTTAGTGGCAATTGACATGTATCTTAGATTAAGAGATCATGTGTTCGAATTCCTCACTTCAAGTGTTGTTGAAATGTTAAGATCTCCGCAATGGTATGATATTATCCACTTTGAGGTGGTGGAGCTTTGCTTTGGGCTTCTCCAAAAGGCATCATTCCAACGAAGATAGTACTCGAATACCTTCCCGGGCTTCCCTAAAAGGCAGGCAGTACTCGAATCTCCACAATCGCCCTTTGAAGATAAGTTTTGTACTCTATTAATTTCTCAGTCCCTCTAGTCAGGTGGGTGCCGGCCGGTCTTTCGACCAGATCCTCCTAAAAACTGTACGTGCAGGTCTTCCCGCATGCGGCTCACGCCATTCGAAGTGGCTCAGTCGAGCATTCATTTGCAAATCAATCATGAAATTGAGACTGAATTTTCCCCAATTTTTTCCTCCAATTCTGTGTATTTTTATATAAGAATTGAGAAAATTCTTACAACTCTCTCAAATTATTTTACAATTTTGATTTCCCCTCCTACCATAATGCATAACAGCGACGATTCAGCATCATCCACCGGGAGCGGCGGCGGTGGAAGAGCTAAACGGCACTTCCGATTCAAACCCCGATGTTCAACGAGTGTTTCAATGTTCCTACATGAAGAACATGAAGGCCCAATGCAACTTTCCGGCTTCCGGTTTCGTCGGCAACACTCAAATCCTTACATACGTCCACTTTGAATTGAACCACCGTTTCTCCGCCGGCTTCGAGAGATACCTTTTCGAAGCCTAGAAGGTGTTTCTGAGGCGAATTGTGTACCGATGGTGGTGATGAATACAGAAAAACTGTGTGACTTCCTGATCTCTGTCCGAGATTCTTCACTCTTAGATGAACCTCGAATCCCAGGTTTTGGCAGCTCTCTTGGACAACGTCTAGCGAATAGCATTTTGACGAGCGGCAAGTGTGGCCTTCTTCCAAAGGGATCGATACCATCTCTGGGGCTTGTACAAGGTGATGTTTGAAATCTGTGTAACTCAATCCGTCCCCAAAGGAGTATACTGTTTCTCCTTTGTAGAATCTGTATGTTCTTCCTGGATATCCAGTAGATGCATCTGGTCTCATTCTCATGTCTGTCATTGGGACCTTCTCTACGTATGATTGTGGGTACCAGGTCATGGGTAGTCTACCACCTGTTCGATGAAATGCCTCAATGAGTTTTTGAAAATTTTGTTCTTCTTAAGTACAGTAGTTTAATTGTTTTCATGGTAGTTAGTTGAAATAAAGTGAATTCTATGGTTGGAGAAGTAGAGAAACTTACTTGGATTGAAGGACCCAAAGATTACATCGGCTATGGCAGCACCCCCAGCTTCGCCAGGGAAACCAACCCATAAGATGCTTGTAATTTTGTCATCGTTTTTGGCAAATGTTACATCCATGCCTCCACCAGTCATTATGACAAGAATCACAGGTCCTTTTGATGCTTTTGCCACTTCTGTGATTAGAAGTGCCTGCTGTCCTGGAAGATTCAGGTCGACTCTGTCTCGACTCTCGGCTTCAATCGATTGATTTGTTCCTACTACGAGAACTGTGGCATCTGCTGATGCTGCTATCTTCTTTGCTTCATCTAGCTGGGCAGAGACGCAAGCCACATCGATGCAGCCAGGCTGATATGAGGTGGATACTATGGCTGATAGGCCTTGTAATGGTGTTGTATATTTGCACGGTATGCCTGCAAAATGATAACCAAGTCAGAACATGGTTTCGTCTTTTGACGAGCAGAGCAAGTTGGCGACTAGATTCGAAGACGAAATTTCAGAAAAAAGTTTACCTGCGTAGTTTCCAATCATGGTGTCTGTGACATTTGCATTGGGGCCAATTACTGCCAATGATTTGATTGCAGAGGGAGATAAGGGCAGAGATTTTGGGCTGTTCTTAAGCAAAACTATGCCTTGTCTTGCAGCCTCTCGAGCCAACTCCTGATTCTCTGGTGTGCAAACATCGTTTGGACCTAGCTTTCCATAAAGCTGCTTGCTGGGATTGCCATCAAAGAAGCCTAACCGCATCAATGTCATAGCATTGTTAGAAACCGCCCTATCAATGGCCGTCTCATTCACCAGGCCTGCCGTAACCGCTGCTTCGGTATGTTCCCCAAGAAAGTTGCCACAGTCAAGATCCAACCCTGTTAGGTAAATCCTATCTCATTGAATCATTCTCTTTCAAGTATAATACACGAGAACACTGGAATTGACAAAGTTCTTCCTGAAACTAATTGTAGCAAATGATTTACCTGCCGATATAGATATTGCTGCAGCCTCCTCGGGCGTCTTGGTATAGTGTTGTTTGTTGTAAAGAACTTCTACTGAATCACAATCTGAAACTATGTATCTGCAATTATCTTATGTTAGTGGAACATATTATCCAAAACTACAAATTTAGTCTTCCATTAAGTGGTTTCCTTATTCTATCTAGCTCAATTTGTAAGCTGACCCATGTGTAACGAGTTCATCTTTGTTCTGATACTCAGGGCAAAGGAAAGAAAGAAAGAAACATACCCATTCAATTTCCACTGGCCGCGGATTACCCCAGCAAGGAGGTCTGGATCAGCACAAGTTGGCTTGCCATTAACTTGATTGTAAGAACACATGACACTGGCCACATTGCCATCGATCACACAGCTCTTGAACGGTGGCTGAAACGTGTCCTCCAAATCTTGCGGGGACACCTTCAATCAAAAGACAAAGACAACCTTCAGGTAAAAAGAAAAAAACCCCATTGACAAACTCAAAGCATTGATAGTGAAAGTGATCTTTTATTTACCACAGCATTGAAGTGAAAACGATCTGTGCCTTTCCAGTTATCCAAATCATAGGCAGTGTAGTGTTTGCAGCAGGCGGCGACTTTAAGGTGGTCGGGATTGCCATCCTCCCGCTGCTGCAGGCCTCGGACATAGCTGACAGCATACTTGCTGGAGAGCAAAGGGTCCTCCCCAGGAGTCTCTTGGCCTCTGCCCCATCTGGGGTCTCTGAAAATGTTAACATTGGGCGACCAAAAGGTGAGTCCTGCTAATCCTGCATTGTACATAGCTCTTGCCTCCGTTGAAACTACCTGCACAATTAACAAGTAGAATGTCTTTCATTTCAATTATATCTAATCTTCACTCGTGTTCTTCATTCTTGATGAGTATTTGCTTATTTTTTTAGAAAAAAAAGTTTAGATTATCCTGAAAAAAAGAATGTGAGCTGTCGGCAGTTTCCAATGTCTGAATCAAAATCTTCCTTTTGAGCTGGAACCATCACAAAGTTTTGAAAAAACACTTGAATTTGTGTACAAAACTCCAGTAGGTCAACAACCACCATTTTCTTTTGCTAGCAATTATTGGATAAATTTAGCTTTTTATGCAAGTTTTTGAATCTCTTTCTCTCTCCTCTTTAAGCCAAGAGATTTCTGAACTATCTTTCACCCACCTCCACATAACATGCCTATTAGCAGCTGTTGAAGGTAATCTAATATCTACTTTTTCTGACAGAAAATGAGGTGGAAATAATCTAGAAAAATATTAGATTCTTTTTCTTCTGAAAAAAAGGCTGATACACTTGCAGGAGAATGGGGTTTATTATCATCTTGAAATCTGAAAAAACCTTTGATTTCATGGATCTTCTTATATTAGCTCCGAGTTCTGCACTCAACTCACTGAGTCACAATTCCAAGTTCTATATGCTATGCTCAAAAACACATTTTTGCAGGTTAAAAACAGATTGTTTTGGCTTGATTAAAGCATTTCTGCTACCCACATTGTCCAGAAGCAGAGTTAGAGAGACACAAAGAAACAGGGGAGCATTGCTTGTATTACCTTTCCAATGGTTTCAAACAGAGTAGCATTGAAGGATGCTGCTGTCAAGATGACCTGAGGGAAGCTGGTGGCGC